ACACACACACACACACACACACACACACACACACACACACACACACACACACACACACACACACTGCCTGCTTCACTCCCACAAACATCTCCATCAGGTAAAAAGGCTCAAAGATGTCCTGCATCAGTCAGCATCTCACCTGCAGCAGAAAACTGACTGCTGCAGGTGAGATGATGACTGCTCATATAAACTCCACTCCACCTCTGCTCTAAAAGGTCTAACCTTGCTTTGAAAGCAGGTTATGATGGGATGTTTGGTTGGAATCTTCTGAACATTCGTGTCTTTTAGAAGCCATGTCGTGTTCTCTCACCTTGGGAGCAGGTGAAGACTCCGCCTTCTTCAGCGCTGCGCTGCTTTCAGGGCTGACCTCAGGGTGATCGGACTGGACGTGAGTCTCCAGGTCCTCCAGGCTTTCAAACTTGACTCCACACTCTGGACACCTGAGCGTGTTCACAGCCTTCTCCAGCTGTGTGTCTGCAGGTGTGCCTGCTCCTCCCACACTGGGACTCTGGCCGTTTGTTCCCCTGAAACCAACATTTGGACTCATTTAACCAAAAAGAGTCGTCAGACTATCAGCTGTGAAGTGATGTCAGGTCTGTGAGGAAGTGATGTCAGGTTTGTGATTGTGAGGAAGTGATGTCAGGTCTGTGAGGAAGTGATGTCAAGTTTGTTATTGTGAGGAAGTGATGTCAGGTCTGTGAGGAAGTGATGTTAGGTTTGTGATTGTGAGGAAGTGATATCAGGTCTGTGATTGTGAGGAAGTGATGTCAGGTCTGTGAGGAAGTGATGTCAGGTCTGTGAGGAAGTGACCCACCTGCTCATACAGGCAGCACACAGACCGTACGGCAGCCCGTTCACATCCAGCTTCACCAGATCTCCTTTATTCTTGAACTCCTTCAAGCAGAAAGCACATTTATACATCTTGTGCTGCTGCAGCTGTCCGTTGGGGGAGGACGAGGCCGAGCCTCCGCCCCCGCCCGCTCCCACGTTGCTGCCTGCGGCTCCCCCCGGCACCGAGCTGCTGGAAAGCTTCTGCATGTGGAAGGTGCCGTGGATCTTCAGCTCCAGGGTGGAGGTGACGGTCTGCATGCAGACCACGCAGCGGAAGCCAGTCAGGGAGTTGCGCAGGTCAGGGTGCATCTGACAGTGCTCAATAAACTCCTCCTCACTCTGCAGGGGCATCTTACAGATCCGACAGGTTCCTGTGTCCAGGCTTTTACTGTGGGTCACCTGCAGCAGGGAACCACCGGCACCACAACACAAACATCCAGTCATTTGGAACTGAAGCACACAGGTCCAGTTCTAAATAACAACAATTATAATAATAATAACAACAACAACAACAACAAC